ACGTATATACCACATTAATAAAAGAAAGGATAAGAACCATATGATCCTCTCAATAGATGCAGAAAAAGCATTTGACAAAGTACATCTATTCTTAATAAAAACCCTCAACAAAGTATGTTTTGAGGGAACATACCTCAACATAATAAAGGTCATGTATGAAAAACCCACAGTTAATATCATCCTTATTTGGGAAAAACTGAAAATTTTTCCTCCATGGTCAGGAACAAGACAGGGATGTCCACTTTCACCACTGTTACTTAACGTAATACTAGATCCTAGCCTCAGCAATCAGACAAAAGGAAATAAGCATCCAAATCAACAAAGAAGAAATCCAACACTCACTATTTGCAGACCACATGATACTCTATATAGAAATCCCAGAAAATTACTAGATTCTATATAGAACCACCAAAAAATTACTAGAACTGATGCCCAAATTCAGTAAAGTAACAGGATACAAAATCAACGTACAGAAATCTGTTGCATTTCTATACACCAATAATAAGGCAACAGAAAGAAAAATCAAGGAATCAATCCCATTTACAATTTCACCAAAAACCATAAGATGCCTAGAAATAAATCTAAACAAAGAAAATTCAGAGATTTAATTTCTCTTTCTAAGGGTTTGACTACCTTAGATACTTTATACAAAAGTGGAATTGTGCATATTTATCTTTACATGACTGGCTTATTTCACTTAGCATAATGTCCTCAAGATTCATCCATGTTGTAGCATAATACAAGATTTCCCTTGTTCCCAACATTGAACAGTCCTTGCTGTGTTTTTATCCATTTTTCTGGCTTCTGAAAGGAATTGGTGTGTTTAAGATTGATGGTTTATCTTAAGCATTTGCTAGATTTTAATAAGGAAGACATAAAGTCCTACAATTTTCTTTATGAAACATCTTTTAATTATGATTATGATTGCTTTATTAACTATAATTCTATGTAGATATTTAAATTCATCTTAGGTCACCTTTAAAAAATCTTTTTATAAAAATAATTCTACTTTATGTAAATATTTAAATCTGTTATTTGTAGTGCCTTTTTATTCCTTTATTGATAATTTTCACCTCCAAAATTTTTCTTTACCTTGATCATATTCTGAAAGGTTAATTTTATTAGTCTTTTCAAAGAAATAACTTTGGCTTTGCTTATTCTCAATATTATATATTTTTTCTCATTCATTTTTGCTTCTTTCTGTATTGTTACCTTTGATTACTTTTTTAAAATTTAATAGGCTAGTTTTTTATTTTTCCTTAATGTTTTCAGATGGTTTAGATTCCCTCTAAGCAAGGTCTCTATATCATGCATTTTTTCCTGGAATATAGTATATTTATATAGTATAATCTGTGTGTGTGTGTGTGTGTATGCCTGAAGTGTCAGTGGCATATAGGGATGTTATTTGGAGCCTTTGGCAGACCCCATAAATGTATCACAGTGCAGGTCTTCAGGATTTTGGAGGAAGGCCCTGCCATAATCTACAGCACTGCTTTCATTTTCAGAAATAACTCTTGGCCTGATACTGGGTCTTTGTGGAGACTGAATGCTTCACCATGGGCCACAAAGTTGCCATATAACCTCAGCTGCCTATCATGAACTGGGTGTTTTCTGATCCACCAAGCCATAAAACTAAGCATGCACAGAAGCACTCCATCATCAAATGGAAATGGTAAATATGTGATCAGGCCCAAGCAGGCCTGAAAGCAGAGGTAAGTTACATGAAGAAGTGACCTAAATGCCCATGGTTCCCTCTCCTGCTACACTGCCTTGCCTCTCCCAGCTTGCACTTACGGCCTTATAGGGATTTCCTTACCATCAGTTGACAGAGGAAGAGAAGACTTGGGCCTAATTTACAGATAATTCTGCACAGTATGCAAGAAGCACCAGAAAGTAGAGAGTTGCAGCACTACAGCCTTTTTCTTGGACTTTCTGAAGGACAGTAGTAAAAGGAAACCCTCCTAAGGGGAAAAAACTTCAGGCACTGTACTTGGTTGTGAACTTTGCTTAGAAAGAGAAATAACTAGACATGTAATTATATACTGATTCATGGGCTGTAGCCAATGGTTTGGTTGGATTGTCAGTGACTTGGAAGGAACATGAATGGAAAATTGGTGACAAATCTGGGGACAAAATATGTGGATAGACCTCTAAGAATGGGCAAAAAAAGGGGGGGAACCTCAACAGAGGAAGATTTTAATAATCAGTTGGAGAAGATGACTTATTCTGTAGATACTAGTTAGCTTATTTACCTAGTCACACTTGTTCTTATACAAAGGACTCATGAACAAAGGGGTCATAGTAGCAGAGATGGAGGTTATGATATGGCTCAGCAACATGGACTTGTACTCATCAAACCTAAATAGTTACAGTCACTGCTAAATGCCTAATCTGCCAGCAGCACAAGGCAATGCTGAGCCCCAGGTGTGGCACCATTTCCTAGGATGATCAGCCAGATACCTGGTGGCAGGTTGATTATATTGGACCACTTCCATCATGGAAGAAACAATGCTTTTCCTTATTGGAACAAACACTTGCTCTGGATTTTGATTTGCCTTCCCTACATGCAATGCTTCTGCCAAAACTATCCTCCATGAACCTATAGAATGCCATACCTACCATTATGTTATTCTACTCAGCACTTCTTCTGGTCAAGGAACTAACTTCAGAGAAAAGGAAGTGTGGCAATGATTCCAGGCTCATGGAATTCACTGGTTCTCCACTGTCCTGAAGCAGTTGGCTTGATAAAATGGTGGAATGGCCTTCTGAACACTCAATTAGAACATCATCTAGGTGGCAATATCTTTTGGGGCTGTAACAAAGTTCTCTAGAAGACTGTATATGCTCTGAATCAGTGTTCAATATATGGTGCTATTTCTCACATAACCAGGATTCATGGGTCCAGGAATTGAAGGGTGGAAATAGGAGTGGAACCACTTATTCTTACCACAAGTGAGCCACCAGCAAAATTTTTGCTTCTGACTTTATGGTGTGTTGGCCTAGAGCTCTTAGTCTCAGAGGGAGGAATGCTTTCACCAGAAAATACAACAATGATTCCTTGAGAAGGAAATTGGAAGATATTTTAGGATGTCTCTTAGTATTACCATGCCCTGTAATTAAAGTCAATAGAAAACTAAAATGACAGGACTACTAATGGTCCAGACCCTTCAGAAGTGAAGGTTTGGATCACCAAACCAGCCCAGGTGCTTGCTCAGATCACAAGGAAAACAGAATGGGTAGTAGAATGTAGTTGTAAATACCAGCTATAGCAACATGACGAGTTACAAAAATGAGGACTGTAATGTCATGAGTATTTCCTCATTTTGTCATAAATACATTTGTGTGTATATATACATATCTTGAGCAAGTAGCTTTCTTTCCTCTCTTATTCCCTGAATTTATATCGGTATTTTAAGTATATTGATTTTACATCATAGTATTTAAGTTAAAGGATATCAGGAGAAGAGTAAACATCACTTAAGGATTTTATTTCCTTTTCTGGGGAAGGGATTAATGCATTTTTGTTTGTATGCAAGATACTTATAACACATTAAACAGAGTTATGACATTTATTTGAAGAATAAGTATGAGTGCAAGTTGAGCAAGGGTAGATTGTGATGGTTAATTTTATATGTCAACTTATGGATCACCAGAAATCTGATAAATCATTATTTCTCATTGTGTCTGTGAGTGTGTCTCTGGAAGAGATTAGTATTTTAATCAGAAGATTGAGTGAAGAAGATTCACCCTCACCAACGGGAGTAGGCATTATCCATCTGTTGAGGACCTGAATAGATTAAAAAAAAAAAGGTGGAGAAAAGATGAATCTGCTCTCCACTTGAGCTAAGACATCTATCTTCTCCTGCCCTTGGACACCCATTGGAACTCCTGGTTCTCAGATTTTGAACTCAAACCTTAACTTACACCATTGGCTCTCCAAGTCTCAGGGCTTTAGATCCATACTAAATTACACCACCAGCCTTCCTGGTTCTCCAGCTTCCACATGGCAGATCATGAGACTTCTTGGCCCCCATAAACATGTGAGCCAATTCCCATAACAAATCTCATTTATCTATCACCTATCATCTCTTTCACTATCATCTAATTATCAATCATTGATATCCTATTGGTTCTGTTTCTCTGGAGAACCCTGAATAATGCACTTGTATTATTTTTATATTATATTTATATAATATAATTTTCATATTATATTTATACTATATTGTTTTAAGAATAACCTTTTGCGGGCACCTGGATGGCTTGGTCAGTTAAGCATCTGCCTTCAGCTCAGGTCATGGTCCCATGGTCCTGGAATCAAGTTTGTCAGGCTCCTTGCTTAGCAGGGAGCCTGCTTCTCCCTCTCCTTCTGCCCTTCCCCCCTTCATGAGCTCTCTCTCTCAAATAAATAAAATCTTTTAAAAAAGAATAACCCTTTGCATTATGATATATTTTTATCTCTGAATGCTTTCAGTGTTAATGTCTATCAAACTTTCCTTTGTATAAGGTTTTTGTATAAAGTTCCTAGCATATATCTTTCCATCCTTTACCTTGAACCTTTACACAACTGAGTTGTGTCTTTTGTGGGCAGCATATAATTGAGAATTTTTTCCAAATCTTAGGATCATTGTTTTTTGATTGGTAACAGACCTGACTATAACATAACTACATGGCATTGCAATTTAAAATATAACAGTGAGCTTTAATCATGGTATTATATTTATTATATTATAAAATTTCTTTGTCTCATGCCTACTGATAACAGAATTAATGCATACTAACAATTAGTATTAGATAACTTTACAAATAAGAAATATGTAATATAAAAACTCATAAGCATGCATTTCTTACAAATAATTCACCTGTGGAATTTTATATATAAATATAAATGTATATTATATTTATGTTATATTAGAAATCTTCTATCTTTTCTTGTCTATCATAATCATAATATGCAGGTTTTGAATCCCAGACAATCAGGCATTGCATGTAGTTTTGTTTTGTTTTTGTTTTGTTTTTTCCATTTTTCCTGTCCATCGAAGATAATTACTCTGGAAGAATAAATAAAAGGGGAAAAATTACCTGTTTGACCAATCAAATTAAAAATGGCAAATTCAACAAATAGCATGAGGTTACTCTAATTATAAGAGTTCTATCACATAATTTATTTTTAACCAACTTCTGAACACACAAATGCTAAAGGATTAAACATTAGAAAAAGTTTAAAAGATTACACTGTAGAGAAGTTTTTAAATGGCAAATAGAAAAGTCATTTATAGTTTACTGTGTCTATGATCTCGTTTGCAATATTGAAAAATATTTTCCAATTCAATTTCATTATATGCAGCTATATGACCACCATGATTAATAAATATATTATTTACATTTATCAAATACATTAAATTTTTGCTATTTCTCTGTCTCTACCTTTTATCCTTAAACTATTTTATACTCACTGTGATATGATGGATTCTGTTTTCTGGCTACTCTTTAGGTTCACTCTCACTTTCAACTTGCCTATATGTTTCAAAATAAATATAATCACTTAAAATTATATTTTCTTTGTTCTACAAAACTCTGTATACACTATCAATACTGAAACAGCTTTAACTTCCTATTTAGGATCTGCGACCAGCCACTACTTGAGAATATCTTGTCACTGAGAACACCTCTCAACTAGTAATCAAGACTAACATGAGAAAAAACACAGTAATATGTTTACCTAAAAATGATTTCATAATTTTCATATTCACAACAGCAGCTAAATAGATTTAAGCTTTCTTGTGATTCATCTTCTGCCATTTTTATTTCTATTAATTTTACTAGCTTTTTCCCTCAAAGATATTTGATATCAGTTTTTCCACAATAAAGTCATCCACCATATGAATATTCTTTTAATGTTGACTTATGTTAACTATTTCACACACTCATATTATTTCTGCAATTTTAATAAACTTTTCAAAACATTTCTATGAAATGTATTCCCTCTTAATTGATATTATCTTATCAACTTTAAATATTTTAATAAAATTTATGTTAAATAAAATGAATAGCACATATATAAAATTCAAAAGCAGAATTTTGATATTTTATAGCAATTTCCCTGAAGAAAAGTAAACCAATTTTAATATTATTTTTATTTTTGAAGCATATTTTCAGATGCTTCTAAGGGTTTTTTGTTTGTTTTTTGTTTTTTAAAGATTTTATTTATTTTTTTGACAGAAAGAGACACAGCAAGAGAGGGAACACAGGTGGGGGGAGTGGGAGAGGGAGAAGCAGACTTCCCCCAGAGCAGAGAGCCCTATGCGGGGCTTGATCCTAGGAGGCTGGAATCACGACCTGAGCTGAAGGCAGACGCTTAATGACTGAGCCACCCAGGTGCCCCAATGCTTCTGTTTTTTAATGAAAAACTATCTGTTTTATTTTTTTCTGAAGATTAGTTTGACTATAATCTATATTTTTCAGTCTATTATTTATTGACTTTTAATCTTCTCTACCTCTAGTTGCTTAATTTATTTAACTGCCTAAAAGAATTTTTTTTTAGATTTTTCTGCTTTCTTTTAATAAAATAATATTCAAAAATATTTTGAAATATATAAATATTAAAGAATAAAGTAATAATGTTTATACATATTTAATAATTAAGATCAAAAATAAAAGGAGGTAGATAAACATTAACTAGAAATCATTTCCACTTAATTTTACCCCAACAGAGTTCAAGTTGTCATAAGATTAAAATTGCTGACTTTTGAAAAAATTCTGTTATCCATTATACTAATTAATATATTATTATATTTTAATATAAATATAAATTTTAATTCTGAATTATTAGTTACATCATGATATTTATTAATAAGTCATATATATGCCAACAAATTATAAAAGTAATGAATCTTAAATATGAAATCAATATACTCGTCGCTTGTATACTCCTCAGTTCTCCATTTTTTTCTTTGGAAATAAACTTTTACCAGTGTGATAATCAGTACACAGAGAATAATAATAAAAGGAATGAGTAAGAAAAATGGCCATCTTGTAGGTTTGGAATGGTAAACATTCTCAATGTAGTTTCTTTCTAGGAGAGAAAACATCAATGATTTAAAAGCAATTACCAGGAATATAATAAAGACATTTGTACATTTTAATATGACTATTAGCATAAAAATTTTTAACTCTTTTATAATTTTATAATTCACATGTTTTTAAATGAAGTAGATAAGTTACAGCATAAGTGCCCTCCAAAATATTTCTAACTTCCATAATAGTCCTTTGCTTTGTTATTGAGGACCTTTTATTTCATAGTTTCTTTTCAGGACAGTTTGATAGTATAGATGAAAAGAAAGTGTGACCCCTGTAAAGACCAATTTTTCTCAATACCCTATTTTTAGTAAGAAATACTATACATGTTGGGCGCCTGAGTGGCTCAGTTGGTTAAGCGACTGCCTTCAGCTCAGGTCATGATCCTGGAGTCCTGGGATCGAGTCCTGCATTGGGCTCCCTGCTCAGCAGGGAGTCTGTTTCTCCCTCTGACCCTCTTCCCTCTCATTCTCTCTCTCTAAAATAAATAAATAAATAAATAAAATCTTTTAAAAAAAAGAAATACTGTACATGTTGTAAAATTTTCATGAGGTCCAAAGTATCTTTCATTTATTGCATTGATATGTATTTTCATGTCTTATCTAAGAAATTATTGGTTATTCCAAGGTCATGTGGAAATTTCTCTGCTTCTTTCAAGAACGTATAGAGTTTTAATTTATATGTTCAGATTTACGATTTACTTCATATAAACTGTTAAGTAAGTTGAGATTTTAAGGGTCATTTGATTTTATTTGGATATTCAATTGTTATAGTACAATGTTTTGAACTGATTTTCCTCCTTCATTGAAGTATCTGTATTTTTCTTGAAAAATTGATTAACCATATAACAATGGGTATATTTACCATTGCCACACTGTCTTCATTAATGTAACTATATGCTAAGTCTACAATATAGTAAATTCAATATAAGGCAAATGGACAAAGATGTCCTTCTTTGTTATTCTTTTTCAGTTTTTTTTTTTTTTTTGGCTATTCTGAGCACTTTTGCTAATATTTTAGAATCAAGTTGTTAATATATAAAAAGTTACATGCTTTTATGATTGGATTTTTTAATCTATAAATTTTGTTACAATTGACATCTTAGCCATAATAAACCTTCTAATAGGTAATTATGGCATATTTCGCCACTTATTTTTGTTTAACATCTGTTTACATTTCTGTTTCAGTTTCAATGTAAAAGACATATTTTGTTAAATTTATTCCTAAAATTTGTATTTTAATAGTATTGTAAATAGTACTAATTTTAAGTTGATTTCCTTTTACTGCTGTTATTATATAGCAATACTACTGACTTTTGTTTTTGTTTGTTTATTTCAAGTTTTTACTTAAAGTCTAGTTAGTTAACATATAGTGTAATAGTGGTTTCAGGAGTAGAATTTTGTGATTTATCAATTACATATAATACCCAGTGCTCAACACAAGTGCCATCCTAAATACCCGTCAAGCATTTAGACCATCCCCCACGCACCTTCCCTCAAGCAACCCTCAGTTTTTGCTCTATAGTTAAGAATCTCCTTGGGGCGCCTGGGTGGCTCAGATGGTTAAGCATCTTCCTTCGGCTCAGGTCATAATCCCAGGGTCCTGGGATCGAGTCCCGGATCAGGCTCCCTGCTCCTTGGGAGACTGCTTTTCCCTCTGCTTCTCTCTCTCTCTCTCCCTCTCTCTCTCTCCTCCTCCGTCTCTCATGAATAAATAAAACCTTAAAAAAAAAAGAATCTCCTTAAAAAAAAAGAGTCTCTTAGGGTTTGCCTTCTTCTATTTTTCCCCCTTCCCCTATGTTCATCTGTTTTGTTTCTTAAATTCAACATATGAGTAAATCATATGGTATTTGTCTTTCTCTAATTTATTTCACTTTGTATTACACCCTCTAGCTCCATCCTCCATCCACATCATTGCAAATGACAAGATTTCATCCTTTTTTATGGCTGAGTAATATTTCATTATAGCTATATCATCTATCTATATCTATCTATCATTTTTATGTATATATATATATACACATATGTAAATCTCACATCTTCTTTATCCATTTATCAATTGATGGACACTAAGGCTCTTTCCATAATTTTTGTAGATAATTATAAATATTTTTGTAGATAATTATAGATCCACATTGTAGATAATGCTGCTATAAATCTTGGGGTCCATGTGTCCCTTCAAATCAGTGTTTGTAACCTTTGGGTAAACACCTAGTAGTACAATTGCTGGGTCATAGGGTAGTTCTAATTTTCACTTTTTGAGGAACCTCCATACTGTTTTCCAGAGTGGCTGCACCAGTTTGCATTCCTACCAACAGTGTAAGAGTGTTCCCCTTTCTCCACATCCTCACCAACATCTGTTGTTTTCTGTGTTGCTACTTTTAGCCATTCTGACAGGTGTGATGTGATATCTCATTGTAGTTTGATTTGTATTTCCCTGATAATAAGTGATATATGAGCATATTTTCATATGTCTGTTGGCCATCTGTATGTCTTCTTTAGAAAAAATGTCTATTGTGTCTTCTGCCTATTTCTTAACTGGATTATTTGGTCTTTGGGTTTTGAGTTTGATAAGTTCTTTATAGATCTTGGATACTACTGACTTTGAAAATTTCCTTTGACCTTTCAAAAACACTTCTAGAAGTATTTTGCAGATTCCTTAGGATTTTCTATGTACTTCACAACATCTGAAATTCCATTTGATGCTTTCTAATAATCTTTATGCTCCTGATTTCTTCTTTTTTGCTATTGCACTGACTAGGATTTATGGGAAAATGTTGACTAGACATAGTGAGAACATAATTTGTTGCCTCACTTTCAACTTGTTTTTTGGAAAAACAATGTATTTCATCATAAGATTTATTAACTACATTTTCTTTTGATTTTTTTAAGATTTTATTTATTTATTTATTTGAGAGAGAGAGAGAGAATGAGAGAGAGCACGAGATGGAAGAGGGTCAGAGGGAGAAGCAGATCCCTGCTGAGCGGGGAGGCCGATGCGGGACTCGATCCTGGGACTCCATGATCATGACCTGAGCCGAAGGCAGTGGTTTAAACCAACTGAGCCACCCAGGCGCCCCTCTTTTGATTTTTTTATCAGATTAATCAAGTTTACTTCTGTTAGTTTGCTGCTTTAAAAATTTCATAAACAGATGTTGAATTTTTTGTCAAATGATTTTTATGCATCAAGTGAGAAAATCATGTACTTTTTAAAAATAATTTTGTTGTTTTGGTGAATTGCACTGATTGACTTTCAAGTGATTAAGGAGACTTGCATTTCTAAGATAAACCCCAACTAGTCTGGATTACTATTCTTTTAATATAGATAGGTAAAGAACATGAGCTAATATTTTGTTAAGAATGTTTACATCTATGTTTATAAAACATATTGTTCTGTAATTTTTCTATGTTAACTTCCTTGTCTGGATTTGGTATTAGGGTTATATTTTCCTCATACAATTAGGTGAAGAAGTCCCCCCACGTGTTTTTTATTTTTTTAAGATTTTAATTATTTATTAGAGAGAGAATGAGCAGGTAGAGGGGGAGCAGAGGGAGAGGGAGAAGCAGACTCCCCATGAGCAGGAAGACTTATGTGGGTGATCTCAGGACCCTGAGATCACAAACTGAGTCAAAGGCAGATGCTTAACCAACTGAGCCACCCAGGTGCCCCCCTACCAGTTTTTAAAATGGTATTTTTTCCTTGCAAAATTTTTCTGGAATTGACCTGTGAAACCATCTATACCTGTGTTGGGGGGGGAGTGTTTATTTTTTTGGTAGTGATACTTAAAAATTATAAACCCATAGATCAAAGAAGTTTTCATTCTGGTCTGTTGGTTATATCCTTTGATTTATAATTCCTTTTCCAAAAGGAACAGTCATTTTTTACAGCTGAATAGCTTTATCAGCCTTGCTTCTTGCCCATACCTAATTGGGACTCAAATAGCTTAAGTACTATCTTGATTACTTTTAGTTGAGTTGATACAATTCCTTTAAAACATGTGGGTTTATTGTGTGTCAAATAAAAAATATACCCCATTAATCAAAGACTATGTCCACAAATCTTTTTGAGATAAGCCTTTTTCTATTCTGGACCTTGGTGAGGCTGCTATGGGATAACTGACTTAAGATTCTTCATAGCCTTATTGTTTGAGAGTTTTTAGAAGCATTCTACTACAACACTTAGAAGACCTTTTGCATAGATTAAGATGTATAAAATGCATCACTACTTTTATGAGGTTTAAAAAAAAGGGTCTTATAGTCACATGCTTGATTTAATTTTTAACTGAGGTCAAATTTTTTTGTTCAATATCTCAAATTTAGTTTTTAACCATTTCTTACAATAAGAAGGTTTTGCTGGAAGAGAGTCTAGGGATAAGAATGTTTTATTTTCAAACTAAACAAAAATGAAACCCCCAAACCCCCAAATCCTGTCTTTTGTATTTGATCTACATTTTACTTGAGAACTGAAATATTTTTCATTATTTCTGTCTTCTCATGTTTTATCATAGGTTACTTAAATCACCTACTGGAAATCTTTACAATCTACCTGGAAATCTTGCTGACCAGAACCTACAAATTCTATTTTCCACATTACCACAGGCAGCAGTGATGACAAACAATTTACCACTTCATAGTAAATGTCCTTATTTCTCCAACTTCTAAAAACATGTTTTTAAGCTGTCTTTGGATTGCTCACCAATAGTATTCTCAAGACAATTTCAACAATATACTAAAAGCCTTCAACAATTTCTTAGAGGTCTTTCTACCTTCTGTGCACCATTCAGTTCCAAAGCTAATGCCACATCTTAGATTCTTTTTATATAAATATACTATCTGATTACCAAGTTGTTTTATATATATATATATGTATATATATATAATAGAATACATACACACAAAAATGTTTTCATATATATATATATATATATATATATATAATGAGAGAGAGAGAGAGAGAGAGAAAGAGAGAGATGTAAGATGTGCAGGAAACTTCTCCCACATGTAGTAATTTATATTTTTAAGATTTTATTTATTTATTTGTCAGAGAGAGAGAGCACAAGCAGGGGGAGTGGCAGGCAGAGGGAGAAGTAGGCAGAGGGAGAAGCAGGCTCCCACTGAGCAAGGAACCTTATGCAGGACTTGATCATGACCTGAGCCAAAGGCAGACTGAGCTACCTAGGCATCCCCAAATATCGTAATTTAAAACAATCATTTAATTTTGTTCATTTTGTGTGTCATGAATTTGGATAATTTGTATTTTGTGTCTCAGTGTATTCAAATTTCAAATAGGGAAGACGATTTTCAACAGAACGAGTGTTCCAATAATAGGAGTTGCAAGAATTAGTATTCTAAAAAACTAAGAATCTCACTTCTGTACATTTTATTGATCAATTACATCACTAAGGTCAATTTGAAATGATATGTGTGTGCTCAAAATCTGCTTTAATTATCATAAATTTAGGTTTTTATATAAAGTCTGGCCCTAAGCATCATTGGATATGCTGGATTATTCTAAAATCCATCCCTCTTTGTACAAAAAAATTGTAGGAAGCTACTTTGGACTTCTAGTTATATTTGGCCAATAGGAATAACTGGATAACATTTGGAGGGCCAGAGTAATGAAATATTCATGGTATTTATCCCCTTGCCTCTGCAGCATCTCCCATAGTGGCTGCATATGCTCTATACCTCTACCTCATGCTGGTCAGTACCTCTCCCTATGATTTAGATCCTGTTATGTAGCCCTGACCATACAGGTCAGGTCATGAAGGTGCCTCAGATTTTGGTTCTAGTAATACAACCTCTTTTCATTGTCCTTCTAGACCTAAGAAGTGGTAGTGGATTCCTGTGTTGCCTCAAGATTCTCTGATTGGCTTTCAACTCTGCCATTATGTGTTAGCTGATGCCTTATATTAAATTCCTTCTGTGTTAAAGACTAAAATGATTTCTATTTTACTGCCTGGGCCTTTACTGATATATCTTATTTATAATATATATTACATATATTCTATTACTCTTTACAGTAAAACACAAACTAGCTTTATGTCTTATTATTTGATGCCCATATATAATCTAAATATAGATTGATAGACAAATAAATAAAATGTTATTTATTTTTTTAAATTTAATAAATTAAACTATTGTTTTAGTTATGTTTTCCTTGCCATTAATACTTACCAGAACTGGCTAAGCGAGCTACAGGTGGAAAATTGCCACTGTCAATACTCCCACCAATCCATGCATCATCACTAGTTTGGCAATTAGGAGGTAAATATGAGGGGTTACAATGACAGTTCTTTTTATTATTGCATATCTGTAACCAGGAGAAATATCACCTTATGAGATAGGTAGCTATAATTATTTGTGTTCCAGTAGAATTTTAAAATAATACTTAGAAGACAAATCTTCTTATGTGTTTTATGAGTATGTAAATGTGTGTGTGTGTTTGTGTGTGTGTGTGTGTTATTATGTGTTTGCTTTGTAGGATTATTCTCAATGATTTCTATCCTCACATCATATTACTGGTACTTACACCCTGTTCATTGCATTTTCTTGGAGTACAATCATAATCCAGGTATGCAGCATCTACACATTCTTTATTCCTACAAACCTAAAATGAAAATAAGCCAAAGTAAATTAACTGAAATAACATCTGTATTTTACATTTCACTAAAAGAATTCTATATTATTCTGACATAAGAGATCTTCATTTAGCAATAAATGTTAATACACTAAGTGATTAATTTATAGTGTTACTATGTTTCCAGCACTAGATGAGACTCTGATTATCTGATAGTAAAGAAAACCACAAAAGTATCTTCCCTTCTTATACTGGGATAAAAGGTACAGACATGAAATAAATAAAACTGGAGATAAATATGTCACAAATACTATAACAAAGTTTAATGAAACAATAAAGTACAGGGAATTTATCTGGTATGTGAGAATAGTTTTAACCTTCTTATCAAGTCTGGATGTTGGACAGGACTTAGTCAAGAATAGAAATGAGGAGTGCCTAAGTAGCACAGTTGCTTAAGTGTCTGACTCTTGGTTTCAGCTCAGGTCTGATCTCAAGGTTGTGATATCAAGCCCTGCAACAGGATTCATGCTCAGTGTGGAGTCTGCTTGAGTTTCTCTCTCCCTCTGCCCCTCCCCCCTAAAATAAACAAATAAGTAAATAAATCCTTAAAAAAGAATAGAAATGAAAGAAAAAGTACTTATAGGAAAAGAAACAATATTTAAAACGACCCTACACTGAAAGATAGTATAGAAATTTGAGAAATATTGACAGCAGCATAGCTACTACACAGAGAAGAACAATTCAATCATTAATTCACTAATTGAGTCCTATAATGTGCCTGCCCTGAAAACACACCAGTGAACAAAAAAAAAAATCTCATATTGTTCATATTGCAATGAAAGATATAGAAATACACAAGTAAAAAGGCCAGATGTGATGTGATAAAAATTGTTATGGCAGAAGTGTGTGGGGCCCTACACTCTTAAAGCAGAAAGTCAGCCTATAACTTACAAGCAATTGGTTGTATTTAGAGATTTTATTGGAAGATGGAAAGTTGATAAAAGTAGGTTTTAGAAAAGAGGATTGAAAGGGCAAGAGAAAATGGACAGATGAATTAAGATACTATTATAGTAGTCCAGGAAAATGATAGCCATAGAGTGAAATTGAGCGGCTGTGGTGTAAGGAAGATCCATGGTTGTATTTGAGATATAGTTTAGAAGTATAATCCACTGAATTATAATTATGGATTTTATATGGAGGATGAAAAAAAAAACAGATCAATGACACCAAGGTTTCTGGCTTATCTAACACTTGGTGGTGGTACAACCAAATGAGGTAAGGAAAGTTAAACAGAAAGCTCAAAGTATAGAAATTGTTTTTTGAAACTTCTTTCAACTATGCTTCATATTTTTTTAAAAAAATTAAAAATTTACTGCCCTCATGGAAAGGCTCTGAGTGACATGGCAAACCAAAGAACATGTAATTGGATATACTGTTTTTATAAAAATGTTTTCTAAATAATATTATCAATATTTCTTTGGGATTATTTCCTCTTAAAAATATATGATCATCATATGCTATTTTTTAAGATTTTATTTATTTGTTTTTTTAGAGAGAGAGAGAGCAGGGGAAAGGGGAGAGAGGGAGAGAGAGGGACAAGACTCCATACTCAGTGTAGAGCCCAAGGTGGGGCCAGTCTCATGGTCTGAGATCATGACCTGAGCCGAAACCAAAAGTGAGATGCTTAACTGACTGAGCCACTGAGGCACTCCCATAATATACTAATTGTTAAAACCAGAGAATGAGTCTGCTCAAATACGTTTTGCTAAACCTTACTATATATGGAAAAATATATCATTAAAGGTGTTTGATAACTTTGGCCATCCATAACTCTGTTTAAGACTTAGAAGGAAATATACTGATGATAAATACATGGCCAGGTTATTCTGAGGGGTTGTGGTAATAGTGTAAAAGTTCTAGCTCTAGATATAGACTAGCATTGCTATAGTTAGAAATATATGTTTTCTGTTAAAATGATGCCTTAACATCTAACTAGCACTTGGCAGAGAAGTTAAATATATAATTTGCAGAGCTGTTGTCCAGAAGAAGATAAACTTAACTCTCAGAGCCATTAAATAAATTCTATGAACCAGAGAGAAAAAAGTTAAGAAGAGATTGTTGGTATTATGAGTATTCTGTTTGTGCAATAGATTTTTTTTTCTTTTACTTGAACATGATTATTTCAATTGTACAATGCAGAAAGGCTAGGGGAAAACATTATCGAAAGTGGGGAGCTAGCTACAAAACCACAGAAGTTATTTATCACCATATAATAATAATATAAAGAAAACAATGGTTCTTCACCAAAGTCTTTGAAACAGTTATTTAAAAATTTGGCTGGAAATAAGAAAAATGATGCAGCTTCCTATTCCTCTCACTATGGTAGAATTAGATTCTGTAGAATTCTTCTTGTATAGAGAAATTAAAATAAGGAATAAAATGAATTATGTACACATATTCTTTAAAAAGAACACATGGCTGTACCAGAGACAAAGTAAAAATTATTTTTAGGTTCACAAAATATGAGACAATGTGATTCCACAAAACTAACCAAAAATTAAAGCCAGTATTCCTTCACTGGACATCAGTGACCAAGCACATAGGCTTTAAATGATCATGTTTACCCTACACCAGAGACAGAATGACAAGAAGATTTTACCAAATACTGAAAAAATAATCTGGAAAGTGACATCAATAAAATGGTGCACTAAGAAGTCCCAAGTTCTTGTTTTCCATTGGAGATATTTAGAAGAAAGAAGAAGAAGAAGAAGAAGAAGAAGAAGAAGAAGAAGAAGAAGAAGAAGAAGAAGAAGAAGAAAGAAGAAAGAAGAAAGAAGACGTAGAAAAGGAGAAAGAAGAACTAGAAGAAAAAGAAAGAAGAAAGAAAGAAAGAGAAAGAAAGAAAGAAAGAAAGAAAGAAAGAAAGAAAG